ATCTGTAATTCTCCCCCATTTCCTTCTATAGTTTTCATCTCCTTTCACAAAAAGCACCACCAACAACACAGAAGTGTTGTGCAACATTAAAAATAAGATTTTCAAGCCCGCCTCAATTACAGCCCATTACTGAAACCAAGCAGAAAGCATTTATCACCCACGTGCCTTATCCCAGTGCAAGGGGAGCACTTATCATGGAGCAATACAGGGAGTGGCAGACTGAAAGGACCAGGGGACACTTCCCATGCTGCCTCAGGACACAACAGACCCAGGTTCAAATTGACTGCAGCAGGCTTGCAACATGACCCTAGCCAAGTCACAGCTCTGGGCACCCCTCTGCAATAGCCTCTTGCCTCTCAGCTCTGCTGGTAGCAGTTCCAGGTGGGATCCAGCTCCAATTCTCCAGGCACAGGCAATTTTCTCAGCGACCTTATCTAAAGGCTGGTACCTAAATTGCTGAGGAACAAATTGTCTTCAAAGTCTAGGAGCAAGAAACTATGAGGATGTGTTCTGGATCAGACTGAAGTCCAGTCTGATGTCTTCCAGTACTTATTTAGAGCAAGGGTTATACACATTTTTACCCTTCAACAGCCTTTCACTCCTGTCATCTTGTCTGTCCTCCTGGGGAAGGGATTCACCACAGAATGGAGGAGAACACCAGCACCTCAGGGATGCAGCCAGAAGAATCCTATAAAAGTCCTTAAAGCCCCAAATTACTCAGTGTTCAGCCAGCAATAAGCTGGGTGGCACAACTCTGTTTTCTTTGCACTTGGCTTTTGCTTTCTAGCAGCTTCATTCAATGCATTAACAGATTTCCCCACGAAGTGCAGCAGTGTTCTTGGCCCCAAAAACCGTGACAAGACTAGCAACACTTAGTTTAAAATAGGTATCTGAAGAGCTTTTATTAGCAGGTTCTGTAGCAAATAGACTGCAATTCTCTTTAAAAAGGGAATTTGAGTCCGAACAGGAAATTTTAGAAACACAGAGAACATGCCAAAGTATTATCTGCTATATTGCTTTTGCTCATATTGGCAAGAGTGTTGTGCTGCACAAAATGATCTTTAGTTCAATATTTACAGCAAAGAAAAAAGGTCTTGCAAAAATTAATGGGTGAAACACCCAATAAAACAAAAAAAGCACAGGAAACCAACCTTACTTTCCGATCCCTTGCTAACACCCTGTCCTTTCTAGGCTGCACGCTGCTACAAACAGTGAAGCAACAGAGGACAGTGAGAGGGCAGAGATGGTTTCCGATGCTTAGAAGACATCCTTTGGAAGATTACCAGAGAGATTATTTATTCTTTTTTGTCATGTCTCAGCTTTAACAGATGGAATCCTAGTAATTAGCAGAAATCTACTGCATGCTCCTGTGGAATTTAATGACTGGTATCTACTCGCTTCTTGCTCTGTAGTTCTTGCTACAGTCCTTCAGGTGGCATTCCCTGGAGTATTCAGTCTGCCTCGCCTTGTTACAGCCCAGCGCATAAGACCTCCTAACCTCTGCAAGAACAGAGTGCAGCAACACCCTTGCTGCTCCTTCTTCTACCTTTGAATTTGTCTCCCTGCTGCCACAGACAGTCTAATTGATGTCAGTCAACTTTAAACCCTATCGCATGCAAGTACACAGAAGAGACAGTGTCGTGGTTTGACACGGAAAAAGAATTTTTCCGGAAGGAAGAGGTCAGTTTGGACATTGACCAATTGAAGGTGGACACGCCTGTGAGAACACAGAGGGGTTAAAAGCAGAATTCCCAGGAGAACTCGCTCTCTTTGGTTCCGGTCAGCGGTCAGTGCAGGACTCTCCCCTGCCCGGCGATGAGCTCGGTGGGGGAGGGGAGAAGCCATGTGGCCTTTGGAGGTAGGCCCAAGGGTGGAGGGACTGGAACCGGGCTGGCCCCCTGCAGATGGAAGGGTGGAGAAATCTAGGATGTCTCCATTCCCCCCCAGAGTCTCTCTCTCTCCCAAGAGAGAAAAAGAGACAGCGGTGGTTTTATCAGCAGTTCACCGCAGGGAAGGAGAAGAGCGGGGGGGCTGCAAGGTGCCCAGCTGGGCTGTGGGAGCTGGAGCCTGGGCAGCGAGCCATCCTTGGGAGTCAGGACTTTTAACCCCTCCAGAGAAATGAAAGCTTTGTGAAATTTTTCTCCTCCTTGGTTTGAAAAGAGAGGAAGAGAGACAGCTTGGACCCTGGGATGTTGGAAGGAGAAATTCTAGGTGGGAGGAGATGATGGAGTGGCTTTTGGCTGGACTTTTTCTTGGTAGCCACAGACTGAACTGATCTTCTCCTCCAAGAGAGACTGTACTTTAGGAGGATGCTAGTGAGCCAAAGAGACCATGCTTCAGCTGGGAAAAGACAGAAGTGGAGCGAACAGAGAAAAGTTAAGGAGGTTTGTGGTGGTGCCCCCTGTCTTCGCAGAGGAAGAAGAGAAGATCTCTGCTCTTGGACCCTCGGCCCCAGGGGAAAATGGGGGGGGGGGACTGTTGGTCCCAAAAATGAAAAACTGAACTGTTGTTTTTTCCCCTCTTGGCAGGGCATCCTTGAAAGGAAAAAAATCCTAAAAAGCAGTCTGTCCATCTATGCATTGGTGGTGAGAGCACTGTGCATGGAAAGAAGAGGGTCACTATTGGCAAACTTTTTTTCTCCGGGCGGTGCCATGTGGTGACATGGAAGCACAGGATGTGGCAGCTGTGTTTCTTGGGGGGTCTGTGGCACAGGAGAGACTCCTCTCTCCCTGCAGATGGACTGGGTGTTGATTATCTGGAGGGTGGAAACCTGATTGGGGTCCAGATTGTGTCTCACTGTGGTTTGTTGGAGTTGGGTGGTTGGAGGAGGAATGCTTTGGAAGGTTTTCATTTTGAATTGTGTGTGTTTTCTTTCTTCTTTTTTTCCCCCCCCTCTTTTATAGTAGCATAGTGGTAGTAGTTTATTAAAGTTTTTTTCTTGTCATTAGGCTTGGGCCTGCTTTGCGCTGTTCTCAATCGCATTTCACAGCATTCAATTGAGAGATTGCATTTTCATGGGGGGGCACTGACATTGTGCCAGTGTCAAACCATGACAGACGTATATAAATATTCTTCTGAGCAAAACCTGAAGGTATCCACTGCACAGAGGGGGTTCAATTTCAGAATAGAGTCCAAAACTTTACTTTCTACCCTGTTTAATACTTTGATTTATATCCTCATTAGCCTGGGGAATAGCTCCTATTAAAACTATTAAAGATAATTTTTGCAATAATATCAAAGGATATGAGTAGGCGTAATGATGGTACTAATGATAAAAATTAATAACATTCATTATTTTTAATCATATGTACAGTTGAAATGAATAATCATGAAAATAAACAAGACATTTTATAAGAACCAAAAATGAAAGGGATGTGAAAACACTATAAATTACACTCAGTGGTCCAGCCAAAGTTTAATATTGCAGACAAGAAAGTATTCTGCAGGCAGACCAGACAGCCAGGAACCAGTGAGCAGCATAACATAAAACAAATGCCTGTTCACCTCTTCCAAACCTGCACCCTTGGTGCCTCCCTCACTCCAGGGTCATGTGGGCATCTGGCACCTTACTGTATATAGGACATAACTGGACTAGGATGTTATTAATGCTAAACAGCATCAGAAACAACATTTCTTCCTTTAGTCTGAACAGCTCTTCCTTTACCATTTCACTGTCCATGTCTGTCCAGATCTTTGACATGACACTGTTTCTCACTCACAGGAAGGACAGTGCAGCCAGTGTCTCTACAGACTTTGGCAACAGCACATCCTAGGATCAAGCTCAGCTGTCAGCACAAGGAACCCATGAAATTTCACACAGCAGCTCTCTGCAATGCCAGCAGGAAACTCATCTAACTTAAAGCAAGAGCTTTCTTGCCAGACTGTCATGTATAGCAATTGATTCTTCCAACCATGTTCCCTTCCAGGTATGAAACAGCTTCAAAATCCTAACTCATTTTGGATTTCAAGACTGCAAGACTAATGCTCAGCAAATAAGACAATGTACTTCTTACCCTTGTTTCAAAACTCTGAAAACACAGCTCATGCCAAGCACTACCTTCATAAATATGTACTTAAATAAACCTTTTGGTCTTCCTTCTTAGAAGGGGGACTTTTATGCAGGTTTTGAGAACAAAGTGGCATGTGGGAAGTCAACCAATAAATATATCTCATAACCAATAAAGTTATTTTCAACAACAGAACAGCAATTTTGGTGTTAATTACAGCCCACCTTAAGGTTTTGCAAGAGTCTTTGCTTGATATTAAATCCTTCCGTGAAAGTTATGACAGCCATTTGTAAAATGAAGGTATTTTCTCTTCAGAACCAAACCTAAGCTTTGCTACTGTCAAAAGCTCTGTTTGTATCATTTAAAACATATGCTCTGTTTTAATTCTGAAATAAATAATACAGCTTTCAGTCTGCACACAGGTTGCACCTTTCAAATTTTGACTGCCCCAAAGCTTCAGTAGCTGTGATATTGGTAACAACCTTGGTAAAGGGATAGGGAAACACAGGTCACACGGGACTTTTTTGAGAAACATACTTTTACCTTCTCGTCACATAAGGTTCCATGAGACAGAGAAAAATCAAGCACGGAAGTGAGCACTGCATGGTAATAAAAGCCCTTTTCTCCAGCTGATGTACTGGAATTCCACACACTGAGATTCCAATTGCTGGTTGCGCTATGCAAACCTTTCCAAACTTGGTCAAAGCTACCAAAAATCCCAGCTGCTCTCATAAGAAGACTTTCCATGCTAGAAATTGCAGAAATTCCCAAGAAGAGAATTTGCCTCCTGGGCCACTGGAAAGGACAAATTAAGGCTAATTTACATTGTCTTGTCAGTTTAACACACCCGAGGCCAGAGGAACAGTTTCACTAAAGCAAATTGCCCACAAGTTAACAGGACAACAGCAGCCAGGTCATCCCATGTCAGTAAAGGATTTAATTAGCAAGAAAGAAAACATCCAAAGTCAAAAAAACCAAAAAAAGGCCTCTTACCTCCTGCAGTGTTTCACTTCTGCATTCCACCAGGAAGGTGATCACCCTGTCCTCATACACCTGTTATTCCAACACACACCGTTATGCAGGACAGGGGCCATGAAGTCTGCCTCAAAGATAGAGCCCAGCACCCCCAGCAGCCAAGCAGGAGAAACAACAGCCAACTGTGCTCCTCAGCTGGAGCTTAAATACCAGTTAGCAGGCCCAGCTGAGGACAATCAGGGGCTGTAAGGACTTGCAAGAGCCCTGCACAGCTGCTGCCCTTTGCTGCCTGAGAGCAGGTGGTCTCCTTGGGAGAAAAATAAAGTGAAATTAGAGCATGTTTGGACAAAGGTTTCTGGCTTTTTGGAGTATCTTCCCACATATTCCTTGAATAGTTCTAGGAAGGAGAGCCATCTCCCAAGACATCTTTGCTTCCCAAAACACCACAGTCAGTGAGGAGGTCTTCCAAAGTCAAGAGAATTAGTCACTACTCCAAATCATGGAGGAAGGATGAAAGCTGAACCCAGACAGCTCCAGGGAAAGGAAGGGTCTGTCAAGCCTAAGTTTTATCAGCTGCTGGCTGGGTGATATTCTGGCCTTTGCTCACCTCTGGATTTTTCCTTTTCCATTGGCTGCAGCTAGAAGCTTGGCTTCCGTGCATGGGACTTCCCTTTTCTCCTGGCACTTGTTGCAGCTAAGCAGTGCAGGAGGCTTTGTGTCTGTCCTTCAGGCACACTGAAAGAAGCAGATAACAATGTGCGTGTCCTCCATATGTCCACTCTCCTGTGCAAAAACCTGACAGTAGAAAAAGAGATGCTAAGATGATGTTATGGAGTTCTCCTAGCTTCTCTTTTTCTTTGCTCTTTCTCCTTGCTCAGTATTTTTCACTTGTGAGTGCCCTATGCACACAGCTGTGTGCTTTCCAGTGAAATTGCAATTCCCAATATGTCTCTGTGCTCTCACTGCAGCCCTGACACCTTCAGTGCCTGATCCAGGGCTTCTGACAGTATATTTGCCCCTAAGGGAACCTTCTGGCCTGCTCTAGATGTGGAAACAGATTATTATGGTTGGGTTTACTCTATTTTTTACTCACAGAAATATAACTTCCCAGATATGAAGGTATTATGTGGCACCCACTGAGCTGAGAAGCTCTTGGAATGGAGGAGGCAACCTCCTGGCTGGAAGCAGACTAGCTGGGCACTGCCACCTATTCTAAATCCTGTTTTCTAGACATGGGCTCAGGTAGGGGGTGCTGTTTCAGGCCTGCAAAACCCCAGCTCATCTCACTGCAGAAAAGGACAAATCATAGGCTTTGGGCTTCTTCCTTCTCAAAGAAAGATGTGTCCTTGAGCCTCAAGATGAAGAGTAATCAGAGCCAGAGAATTAGTTCTGTGTTTTCTGTATTTGGAAATGGACACTAAGTTTTGGGTTTTCCAGACTTGAAAATGGGCTGATGAGGTTGTTTTGGGGGCTCTAAAACAGGAAAAAAAAAAAAAAAAAGAAAAAAGAAAAAAAAAAAAAGGCTTGTGTGTTTGGGGCTGGGAATGGGATTCCTGGACATGGGATGAAGTTTGGAGCAGAGACCAAGTCCTGCGTGTTTGGCCTCAGCAACTGAGATTGACTCATCTGCTGAGATTGACCCTTCTGAGCAGGGGGCAGGAGTGGAAGGGAAGGCGTTGGGCTCCAGGCAGAGAGGAGGTGAGCAGGTGACAGAGACTCCTGCCTGAGGTGGGGGTTCAGTCATGTTGGTCCCCAAAGTTGAGAGGCCAGCATGCATCAGGCAGAACTCAATGTCTGAAAGAGTCCCTAGGGGAAAAGACAGTTTTCACACTGTTTTTGTATGTCCAACTCTTAATTAATTGTGTGTACAACAGCTGGAGTTGTCATTAAGTCATTAGTTCATATTTAGACAATGCACAATTATGGCAGTTCGTACTCTTATGACAGTGATTGATTTACAACCTTGTCAAAACCCACACTGCTATAATGAGCAGAAGCTTTAATTAGCTGAAGGATGGGCAGGGCTGTCCCCAGCCAGGAGCAGAGCAAGCAGCAGCATTGTCCTCTGTACAAGCAGCCTGGCTTCTTCCTCAGAGATTCAAAGAACCCTGGACCAGTCTCTCCCCTGATCTCTTTTCAGGGGCAGAAATGAGGAGTCCCAGCACATCCATGGTGCCTCCTTAGAGATTTGTGGGGATAGTGTCACTGGCCTAATTGTCCTCACTCAACACAGATGAACCCAAGACTGAACTAGCTCCTCCACCCCTGGAAGAGAAAGCACTTTTCCATGAAGCAGCCAAACAGCATCTTTAACTTGTTATGTTATACTTGCACAATATTTTCTGTGCTTATTAACTAATTATTAAGTGTTTAATAATCAGACGATATTTATAAACTACTAATTCATTATTATTTATAATGAATTTATACTTGTAAGCTGATTATTCAACACATACTCAATATTAAACTATGCTACTTATAATTAAATGATGACAGCAACTTATTTACAACCCTATCAAGAGTCCTCGTGGCACCAAAGCAAGCAGGAGTTGCATTCCCACCTCCATGAAGGTGGCAGGAACCAGGCAGGATCACACAGTGCACTGGCATTCCCCAGAACAGGTCTTTTGCCTCTGCATAAGGCATATATGCAAAAGATGCAGGAATATGAATGGTGTGTTTCATTTTTATAGGTACTGTTGTCCTTACCAGTGCAACTTTCCAGTATCATTAAAATTAATAAGATTAGCAAAGCCATGAGGAATAGCAGTAACTCTGTAACTTCTCAGCTTTTCAGTTTACAGTTTCACATTTAACAAACTTAAAAGCTGACTTGAACTAAGACTGTTGAGAAGTGTAAGATATTGGTATTGATATAGAAACTAAAGTTTCTATAGAGAAACTTTAGAGCCATTACGGATGCCATTCAAATCATTACTCAGCTACAGAATGAACTGCTACAGCATTTTTATAGGTGTAACTAAGAGGGTGAAGTTGGATATGCAAGTAGAACACATGAGAGCTTCTCTGCTAATTCTAATTAGTAATGATGGCCTGCTGCAGAGGCTAATCACAATAATGAGAACCAGGTAAGAGCCCAGGAAGCCCAGCTAAAAAGCAGAAAAAGACTGCAAGTTCATAAAACTAATAATATTTTTAAGTGGAAAACCCCCTCTGACAACACAAAGCAGCTTCCTAAATCATGAAACAAATGAAGACACTGACAAAGAGTTCAAATTTCAGGAACAGATGGTCTTACAAAGTGATTCAGTAAGTCTCCATCAACTGCTAGGAAAATGCTCTAAACCCAAGCACTTTCCATAACCTTGAAGGGCTCTCTGGCTCACTACAAAGGATTACAAGACAGCATTTTAAAAGAAGCAGGTGAACCTAGTCTGTATAAGGTTCTATGAAGAAAATTAACTCTAACCTGGCCAAAACCAATGAAATAGTAGACAACAATCATACCTTGTCTATGACTGTGGCTTAGCTGTTGCATCCGTTTTCTGAGGCTGACACTATTGCACAGGATTATAAGTCTTGGGTTAAAACCTTCCCTGTGAAGGGAAAAAAGACAACAAAAAACTGAGCCTAAGAAAAATCTAAAAAACCAAATAAAATAATTAACCCACTACTGACTAAGCTGTTAATGTCTGACTATTATGGAGGAAGATGTTCTAAGCTGGGAAAATAAGGTGGTCATGAACACCTTATCATGAACAATAACATCATGTTATTTTTAAATGTCTTCCATAAGCATCACAGGAGAGCAAGTAATTAATTTCCCCACAAAAATATTATCAGGTACTTTCTGCTTAACTTTAATTGTTTCAATTACATATTTATATGAGGAAGAAAAACATAATACTTAGTATTATGTTGAATAAAGACTGAAGTTATAGGAAAGAAGAAAATAAGGTATGAATTCAAGAGTGTCTCAAAGTCCACAAAAGAGAAACTGTTTTCTGCCCACTGTTAAATATGATCAAAATTATCTGATCATAAGCATATTTATGTACAATTTGTAAAGAATGTATATGAGTTTCTCTAGATATAATTATATGTATTGGCAAATGATACTTGAGTTGGAAGAAACAAGTAATTCAATTAAGGCCAAATGTTTCCCACATGCAATCTGGTAAAGTATAATTTGTTATCATTAAGCCATCTTTTCAATTTCAGAAGTGAGAACTATACTTTCATGGCTTTCAGAAAAATATTACCGAAATTAATGGTCCTTAAATAGGTAAAAAGAGTATGTAAAAACAGATTAAAAGCAGTACTTGGCAGACAGAAAAGATTCCTCAATTAGAGATGTCAAAAAACCTAAATGTGTAGTATGTGGGCATGAAACTTTATGGAAAAGTGTTATGAAATGACTAACGAGGAGATTGTAAAAATATGAAATTATTCTATTCCTTTTCTGCATGCTGGCTGTTATTTTCCCATCCTTTGAGCGAGACAGTCACTAAAATATGTAGTGTGTCATCTCTGCAGTAGGATCTGTCTGAAGTTGCCACCCACACTGTACCTGTGTGGGCAGAGAAGAGACTCCACCAATGACTGAACCTGTGGGAATATGTGAACAGAAGAGGAACAGCCAGCACTATGCCCTCGGGGGTAAAACAAGTTACTCTGGGTTATCACTGTGCCAAAATGTTGGTCTGTGCAGTCTGTCAGCAGCAAGGCACAGAAACCTCCCAGCACTGAGCCATGCTCAGGCCTTTCAGCTCCTGCTCTAAATGAGGAGTAACATCTGCCTTGTGGGTGAGAGAAACCAACAGGGAGATTGGGCAGGGCCTGATGAAACTAGGGTGCTTTTCAAAAGCCTGAGCACTTGACTTTCAGCTTACCAAGATCTCTTTCACAGCATGTGTTCAGGTCTGGTTTATAACCTTGAAGTCAGAACTATATAGTTGGAGCAACTTGAGTATGGCTGGCACAGGTCACAGGTTAGAAAACACTAAATCAAAATCTTCCACTTAAGGAGTATTGGATACACTGAATCCCCAGCAGCCCAGAAACTCAAATAGGAAGGCCTGATGCTGACCAAAAATCCCATGTAATTCAAACTTTCTCATGGCAGGGCCAAGACAGCCTTGTAGTCTTGACAAATATGAAAAGAAGCAGGACTTCCTCCTGTTTGAGTATCAACAAATTTCTTTTTGGAGTGTGGATGAACTGTAAGGAAACTGCAACAAAACCAATGAAAACAAAAAACCTTCACCTACATAATACCTATTTTGGATATAGTCAAAGTACTAAAAATGAGAATTTCTATAAGCTCTTTTCTCAAGAGCTTCCTTCAGCTTCCTGCATACAAAGGACAATCTTCAAATACCCAGGATCAGGAAAATCTCCATAAGACTTTTTCATATAAAATGTTTCTCAAGTTAATTTGAAAAGGAAATGTCAAGAATATTTCAAAGCAGAATGTTGTTTATTAGAGCAACTGTCATAATTTTTGAATTCCATTTTCATTTGGCAGTCCCATGAGTGCTACTGATCCAGTTTTCTTTCTTGGTAAAATAAAACCATTAACTGAAGCCCAAATATGAACACCAGCTTCCCAGGAAGGTTAAGCAGGAGTGGTGGACATAGACACTGTCTGTCAAGCTGCAGATGGGTATATGGTGACCTCTTCTCATTTTTGCTTTGAGGATGTCAAAAAACTAAAACTTGAATTCATGTTAAAATGCATGAAGCAGTAAGACTAACATATTTTGGCTGAAATTACATGGACTTTCCAGTTATCCTGTCACTTGGGCTGTAGTCAGTCAGATTCTGCCTACTTTCAAGCGTATTTAGGATCAGAATTTCAACTTCAAGAAGTAGTTGAAATTCTATCTATTCACTCTATCAAACACATGAAGGTGTTTGATATTCACTCTATGAAACACATCCATCACCCTGTCTTCATAGTAGATCTTTTTTGGGCCAAACTATGAGCAAGATTTCTTATTTTTACTACCTTAAAATAATACCCCCACAGGAAAACTCAAGGAGTTACTCAGAACCTTATTTCTTAAATGTTTGCTGTTATTAGGCTTAGCTATTTCTCTCCTGCCCCCAAAATCTCAGTAGGTATCTTGTCATAACAAAGATGTTCAATGTTACAGATATTATTCTTCAAAACCTGAACATCTTTTTTGGTGCCTCCAGCACTGCTGAGGAGATAATTTCTGCAAAACTGTGCCCCACCAAGATGCTCTAGGAAGCAGCAGTGGGGCAGGAGGCTGGTGAAGAGTTGCCAATTACAGCCCTACGAGCAGCTACTTTCACTGGGAGCACACCAAGTGGACTGGAAGGCTGCAGAATGAGGATCTTGGCAGTCAAGAGGGAAGCAGAGAGCACCTTGCCTGAGTGCCACACCTGCTGACAGCTGACTGAAGCTTCAAGGAAAATCCAGGAAAATCAGTATCCCCACCTCTCTCTGAAAAGGTTCATGAGAAGAAGAAATGGGACCACTAGACCACTTCTGTCCACTAGAGCAGTGCTACTGGCAGAGGCAGCAAAAATATAACATCCACAAGATTTTATCACAGCCTTTAGTATAAAGGACCTCTTCCAAACCAAGGCAGAAGTGGTGACCCTAAGCCCTGAAATGGAACATTCTATTTCCATTCCCAGTTTAAAAAGCTGTTCTACAGTGAGGTGCCTGCCACAATGAAAAGACAATCATACCAAATCAGCTGGTCAAGCAAAGGAGAGAGTCATCCTCACAACAGAAGTGAGGATCTGGCTCACAGCACAGTTAGGATTGATGCACGCCTTGAATTTCTTGCACTGCCTCTGAGGTAAATGATGTAATTGCACATGCTGATCAAACTCATTGCAGTGACAATTCCCTCATGAGGGGAAGAGGAGGGGCAGGCACTGACCTCTTCTGTCTGGAAAGCAGTGACAGGATCCGAGGGAATGGCCTGAAGTTGTGCTGGGGGTGGTTTGGGTTGGATATTAGGAAAAGATTTTTCACCAAAGGATGTTGGGCACTACAACAGACTCCCCAGGGAAGTGGTCACAGCACCAACCTTGACAAACTGCAAGAAGCATTTGGACAATGGTGTGACTCAAGCACATAGTGTGACTCTTTGGAATGGTTCTAAACAGGGCCAGGAGTTGAATTTGAGGATCTTGATGGATCCCTTCAAACTTAGCATATTGTATGATTCTATGATCTAGCCCCTTAGGCAGACTGCAGACCAAGGGTAGAAATATTCCTGCCCAGACAGGCAATGGGCTGCCTGTCCAGGAAAAACAGTTTCCTCCCAGAGGCCATATTTCCCATCTGCCAGCCTTGTGACAATAGGCATTTAGGCAAAATGAGGATCTAAACTATTTCTAGGTATTACCTAGCACAGGGCATATGCAGAATCACAAGGTGGCATGTTTGTAGTAATTTAACTCTGTGATTTCCCCTTCTTCAAAAAAATAACCAACCACACTCTTGAAGAATACAAGTCAGGATCTATATTTAACTCCTCTCCCATGTGTGCACACAAAGGCATTACCAATTTACTGTGTAATTAGGTAGGTCATCTAACATGTCTACACCACTTATTTTTGCTTCTGTTTTTTGTGAACCACTTTAAAACTCTTTCTGATTTTGCTGTATGAGATATGACACAGAAGGAATTTGCGATGCTTTTCTCTTTCTGGAGAGATGTCTATGTATCTTAGGTTACAAGATGAGGGTGGGGGTGTGTATTCTATCCCCATCTGTTAGAAGTAGGGCAGTTATCTTCTGTTTATTGGGCAGTTTTCTTTATCTCTTCCACAACCAATCCTCCCTCCAGGAAATATCTTCTGTTAATGGGCCATTGAGTGTCACTGCATGACTGATAAAATCACATCATGCTATTGAGAGAAGCTCCACCCAGATGGAGGAGCCAAGCATTCCTACCTGGATATAATCAGAGATTTGGAACATTATAGTAGCTTTTCCCCACTGGATTCCCAGAGGAGCAACTCTCTTCTCCATTGGATTCCCAGAGGAATACCAGGCCCCTCTACGCCACCACTACACCTTCAGAGGAAAATTACACCCTTCTACAGGATCACTGCTTCAACAGAACCACACCTGTCACTCCAGGAGGACTGCAGCCACCATTCAATCAGACTGCTACCAACACCCTGACCCACAGGGTGTTGGGTCATATTCTGACTCTGTCAGTAGTTTGAGATTTTTTTGTACTATTGGATTTGTACTTTTAATTTTCCCAGTAAAGAACTGTTATCCTATTCCCATATCTTTGCCTGAGAGCTCCTTAATTTCAAAATTGTAACAATTCAGATGGAAAGGGTTTACATTTTCCATTTTAAGGGAGGTTCCTATCTTCCTTAAAAGACACCCATCTTTTTAAGTCTAGAGTTTTCTGGTTTATGAAGGCAACTGCTTTCTTGTGTGATAGACCTGAACAAGGCGTTGAACTTTAATGACAGGCTGCTGCAATGAGCATATGTAGGGTATCAAGGCAATTTAATTCTCAAAGCTGAGGGGATTTTCTTGCTAGAAAAACTTGCTTTCTTTCTGACAAGCAGGATCTTGGGACTTGCC